GGGGGGGGTGATGGTGGGGGGTGATGGTGCCGCGAACGAGCACATATAGGCGATCGCCGGGCTATGGACCCGCTGATCGCCTATATGTGAAACACCCGGCAACGGGTGTGTGCAACGGTCGGGTCTTTTCTGCCCGTGCGTGCCCGCTAGGGGGCGCGCGCGAGCAGAAAAAAATTGCCGTCTGGAGAGGGCAACCCGCAAATGCTGAAGTGCTGTCCGTCCGTTTTTTTACTACGGGCGGACGGCAAGAGGTTAAAGCATTTTACAAATTTTGTAGAATTATGGATAGTTATTTTAGTTATGGTATAAATATACTTGTGCCTTGATACGTTATTTGTAATGGGTGGTTGCACACTGATCTCCTGACTGTGCTTCATTACTATATTTATCTTCGAGAGCAAACGTAATTATTTTTAGAATAGAGTAATAGAACTCTGGCATATAACCCTACGGGTATGCAAGCAACACGTATTTTCTCCAGCAACAAAGAATAATCTCTTGTATAATTGTGTAACTTTCTGGGTCATTCATGTCTGTGGAGTATAGCTTGAAAGAATATATGTTATTATATTATGATAATTATTACTACTACTAACAACACCACCACAATGAAGAATGTGCTTTATAGATTATAGAAACAACTATGCATTCTTTTAGGGCAACACATCCTTTTTTCTCTGTACAGTTACAAGACAGTTTTTGTAAGTTGCATTTTGTAAACCAATGCATGATAAATACACAGTAAACTGGTTTTGACCTCCAGCTCCATTGACCTTGTATGGCCACATTTGGTAAATTACATTGACCTAATATGGCCATATAAAGTCAATTATGTCACTAGCATCCTGCCCATTTATGTACATGCTACTGTGGGGTGTGGACAGCCCCGGCCACAGCTTATTTTCCTGGCTCACCTCATGTCAGCATACTGATGGGGTCAGCTCCGCCCCTCTGACCCCACAGGACCACCTTCTCAAGTGAATAAAGGTCCGACCCCCTCTTAGATACCTGTTCTCTTTTTGTCCTCGCTCCAGGCCACGAAGTTCTTCTCTGCAATTCCTCCCTACGGTCCCATCCGGGTTCAGCCTCTCCCGGCTGGATGACCCCTCTGTTTGGCAGTAAATCTCCTAGATGAGGGGTGCCAGTGGTGCAGGCAATTCCTATACAGAATAGACTTCTGTCGTTTCCTTCCTGTAGGACGGGGGTCTCATGCTGAGTTAAACAAGTGAGTGAGCAGGGCGTGTGCCGTATTCTCCCTAATTCTCCCTGATTGCCTCTGCGCATGCGCCGGCGTCCGCGTGTCATGGTTGGCATGGCCGCTTCGGGACGCCGTGCGGAGTGTGTGCACGTACGCCTAACTTCTCGGTTTGGATGAGCATTGGTTCGAATCAAACCCGAGCTCACCCCTACTGTGGAGTGACAATAAAGCGTATATTTATAAAGCAGTGAACATGACATTCCCACTGTGGGTGAGATCTTCCTGGTACCCATGTTTTAAATGACAGTGATTGATGTACCACCAGTGAATGTTTGGGAATAGTCACATTCACAGCTTTATAAATATGTCCCCCATGACTCTTATGATAAAGTACAAAAGCAGTTACATTCCCAATGGTAAGGCCTTTGGCTTGGTTGGTACCCAAATGATAGAAGTCATTACCAACCAAAATAATACAATCATACAAGTGAAAAGAAACACTGCCTTACAGACAGGCTGCCCAGTTTGCCTCATTATAGAAGTAGACATTTATAAATATTTACAGCTGTAGCATAATGCTTTTGCTGCATCTCCTAAAAACACCCTATAGAAGTAAATTGCAATCATGATCTGCTATATGGGATAGACATTCTGTAATGTCAAACTGCAATGTACAGTAAACTCCCAGTTACCCAGCACCCACGGGCATCAGTAGGTGCCTCTCAGTAAGTTCTCTCTCAGCTCTGCTCCTCTGCTCAGTGGGTGGGTGCAATAGCCAGCCTGCTATTGGCTATTTCAAATTGCAATAGCCAATAGCAGGCTGTCTATTGAAACACACCCACTGAGCAGAGGAGTGGAGCCGAGCGAGAAAGTTCTCACTCAGCTCCGCTCCTCTGCTCAGTGGGTGTATACAATAGCCAGCCTGCTACAGGTTTCCTTAAAGTGGACCTTTACCTCCTTTTACTAAAAATCACAGCAGCATAAAGTTCTGCATGCCGATAGGAAATCATCTTACATTCATTAGCTAAACAAAATATTTCTATTTTACTTACAATTTCTTTTTCCCCCACTTCCTGGTCCACTTTGGCACAAATGATGTAATCATGCCCAAGCATTGCATCCTGGGAAGGTTACAGCAGCAGAACATTGCTAGGAAATCCCATCTGTAACCTCATGAGATCTCAGGGAAAGGCATTTTCCTCCCCTGAGATGATGTACATGGTCACATGTCCTAGTCACATGTGCCATAATTCCAGGAAGTAAAAAGGATATATAGTAATCTGCCCTTAGTGAAAATGGCCGCTGTGAGAAGAATGGGGAGGAAAAGAAAAATAAGGTATTCTATTGTCTGCAAAAATTTAGGAGGTATCTGTTTGTAGATTGTGATTACTAAATATTTCTAAAGGTGCCGTTATTTTTAAGATATAGGTAAAGGTCCTCTTTAAGGTTTTAATAAGATGTACACAGATATCTCCATTAGGGGACACCAGCAGTGATATTTTGATCTTCATTTCCAAGGACTATTTACATTACCATGTCAATTACAAAGGGGTCACACGCTCCCTTCCAGAATATTTGATATATAACTGGGTGTGCACAGTCACATTCTGTTTTAGATTTCATCAGTCAGCGCAACAAAATGTAGTAACTATTGTGAGGGGGCCTCACTGACGGCACATAATTCAAATGGATAGCCTTTGATCTGGCAGATCACATCTGAACAAAAACATAAAAAGGTGGTGATACATGTAATGAGAAGCACATTATCAAAGATTTGCTCAGAAACTAATAATTGACAGTACAAAAGCAATGTTTATTTGGTCATGTTTGACTGAATTTCCTATAAGAATAGATTATTCCTTTTTAATGGAAATGATTGTTTACTAACCCAACTGTTCCATTTAGTGCAATTAATTTCTAACAGATAGGATTCTTTCTTTGAAACAATCATACCAATGGTCTTATCAAGATGTGATTTTCCTGTAAAGCTTGTGTGTGCACAGTTTAGGCCTAAGGCAGTTGGCTTTAAAAGGAGGCGTCTATGCTCCACCTGTACCTGATAATGTAAAGAATTTGAATACAGTACGTTTTTGAGCACTTTGCACTGTATTTGGCAAGAGAAGAAAGGACAGATATGGGGTAGATGAACTCTATAGCAGTGGTTCTCAACCTGTGCAACCTCAGGACCCACATTTGAAATTGGTCATTAAGGGTGGGAGGTGCGTTTGGGATGCCATTCAAATGAATGGCAACGCGACGCACCTCCCACACCAACACATGTGGTATGTGCGATTGCAGGGTACAGTGCATTATTCATACAGGACTGTGCGATTAACGCACTGTACTAGTGTAAACAGGTCCTCAAAAACACACAACACAACCACAGACAATCTCACATACAAACTCTAAAAAAATATATATTTTTTTTTCTTTTTTAAGACACACCCAGTCTCTCTACCTTACAAGAACTGGAGTAGATCCTCAGCCTGGGGTCAAGTGTGGGCTTCTGTGCTGTGACGGAGCTCCATCCATTGCTTGCACAGCTCCCTTGCACACCCTGTAGAGGTTCCAGGAGCCAGAAGGTGATGTCACTCCTGTCCAGGCACCTCTACAGGGAACACGAAGGAGCTGTAAATGCACGTATGGATGGAGCTCCCTCGCGGCCATACCCCAGCCCACTCCACCTCAAGATGACACTCTGCACCGGGCAGCATATTTTGAATGGCTGCTCGGTATAAGAACTGACAGTGCTGCACTAGGGAGAGACTGAGGAGCCTCTCACCTAATGCAGCGGAAGGCACACGGCGACCCACTGAACATGGGGTCGCGACCCACTTCTGGGTCACGACCCACCAGTTGAGAACCACGGCTCTATAGGAAGTGAAGGGATTGCTGTTCTGATTATAGTGGGAGCAGCCAGTGCAGACAGGGTTCTATGGCCTGCTAAAAGGCAAATACTTTATGGAGACTGCTAGGAACTTGTAGGTAAAAAGCTAGTAGGAAATTCATCCCACCAGACTTCACCATAAATCAGGTATCAGTTTTAGGAGGATAAACCTTTCAAATGTAAACGTTTTTGCCAATATTTTGATGCCCACTAGCCTTGCAATAACTGAAAATATAGCAATGTATCATCATTAGTTATCAACTGTAAATAATCATGTGCCCAAACAATGGCCAGGAATAAGTAATGTCAAAATAAAAAATAAAGTAAGAAAAGATAAAACTCGATTTATCAGGAGTAGAATCAAATCACTTAAAATGTTGCTGATATTGTAGCCAGAAAGCATTGGCGCTAAAATACTAACCTGCATATCTAGTTCATGGCACCGTTGGGCAATTTCTTCCTTCGCTGCCAAGGCTTCATTGAGCTCCTCAGTAATTTTCTTTAACTATTCAGAAAGAATCATCAATTAGTCAAGAGCTGACAGTTGGAGCAGTTATGTTCAAGTAGTTGGTATCTTTTAGCGTGAAAAAGAGAGGGGTTACCTGTCGGTCAAGTTCAGCATAAGCATCTGTTCCTATTGACACTGGTGTTTCTTTGCTCATTAGCTGCAAAAAGGTCAAAGAGAGTTAATGAACACCAGGCTCTAACATTAAAAGGATTTTTTTTTTACTAATCATGCAAATTAATTCAAAGCAGCATGTTCAATTCACGCACACATTCACATGACATAGCCTTTAAGAAAACAAGGAGGAATGGCATACATTATTGAGGCAGCAGCATGTAGCCAATATGGGAAGGTGAGAGCTTAGCCAGGGCTGTGGCCTTGAGGGCCCTGAATTATAATACATGCTAAATGCGCAAGGAAAGGATGGTCAAAGATGGAAAGGATGGCACTATTTACAGTGTAGGAAAAATAATTGCTGGTAGTAGGTCTCACTTGGTTTGACTGGATACTAAGGGCAAAACATATTCCTTTATGTGGATACGCTTTTATTTCAGTATCGTGCCAGGAAGACACAAGTAAAATGTTTAGTCAGGTACACTTCCAAAAAAACATTTATTTTTAACCTGGTTACATCTGCTAATGTTAATATGTCTGTTAAAAGGAGAACTATGGGGTCAGTGTTTTTCCCCATAGTTCTCCTTAGGGTAACGGGAGGACACAAACTAGCGTCCTCCCGTTACCCTAAGCTCAGTATACTGAGACACCGCAGCCGGAGCGGATCCCGACTTAGATGACGGCATCCGCCCAGCTGCGCAAGTGACAGCTGGCTTTGCCTATCTAGAGGCGGAGCCAGCTGTACCCGCCCCCTCCCCCGTCCGTTCCACCAGTCAGCGCTGGCAGATCGGAGCAGGGAAAGGGGAATCCAGCCCCTCCCCCTGTCACGGCAGAGAGCCGTGACAGGATCGAGAGGCGAGCGAACCCGGTATGTGTTCGCTCACCTCCCGATCTACTGAGCCGACCTGTGACAGTCTCATTGTCACAGGTCGGGTAGAACTATGAGGTGAGTGAAAAGCACTCATCTCATAGTTCTCCTTTAAGGTTCTGATTTAGCCAGGTCACTGAATAGCTTAGTAGTAACATTTAACTGGACTTGTCCTGTAATGTTGTAATGTTGAAGATGTTTCGTGGCCACGTCTTCATTTCAACTGAGTGTTTTGACAACAATTCACACCTTAAGTCATGTAACGGATTAACACCTATGAAGCCTTTCTGACCCCAAGGATGGGATTATGTGACCAGAAGAGGGGGGTTTCTCAACTTTTACACCTCCCATCCTGTTCTTGGACAGTCAACAGCTACATATTCCATGAGGTAATTGGATTAAGGTGTCTGTGTTACCCGGGTGGATATAAATGTTGGGGTATGTTTTCGGACACTCAACTGAAGAAGTGAATTGGATAAGCTTTGAAACATCTTTAACATTACCGAACAAGTCTGGTTGAATGTGGCTAACTACTACTAGCTATATCATGACCTGAATAAAGGACACATACATGAGGGGAGGTGTGAAAGTTTGTGGAATCGCCCTGTTCTAATTTCCTAATCCAATTCTGTGGTGTCTTCAGGTCTAGGACATGTGTTGATTGTTCTAGTTACATGGCTGAATGTGTGAATTGTTTTTAATCTCCTGGTAAAGAAATTATAAAAAAAAAAAAAAAAAAAAGCATAATATGTGAGTGACGTATGGTGTGGAAGGCCCCTACGTCTATTTAGGGATGGCAGTTCTAGTCTGATGTAGATGTCATCTTTCATGCTGGGGTATCTTATCAGAACTAAAGAAGGGACTTGCATAAGCAATTAAATGTCTTCAACATTACAGAACAAGTCCAGTTGAATGTGACCAACTGCTACTAGCTATAATGTAAAGCATCGTGTTTTGTCAGATTTTTTAAATAATCAGAAGGCCAGCAGGCAACGATAGGATAATATTTTTTCCAATAAATAACTTCGAATGGATCAAGTGTGTGTTTTATAAGCTTACCTCTTGGATTGCAGTCATCACCATATGTTGCACAGATTCTTCCATCATCATGATGGTCTGAATATACTCTGGAAGTAGAATATGGGCATGTGAAATTAATTAAAAAATAAAACTGACGAACTATTCCTAATTAAAAGGGAAATATGACACTGTTTAAAAATGAAGGACGGGGCAATCCAATAATTTACCTACTTGCCTTGCAAAGGGAGAGTAGCTTGTATACAGACATCTGACAGACATCTGACACACACACACACACACACACACACACCTGACCTCACAAATGTGCTTCTGGAAGAATTGTCAAACATTCCCATAGACACACTCCTAAATCTTGTGGACGCCTTCCCAGAAGAGTTGAAGCAGTTATAGCGGCAAAGGCTGGGCCAACTCAATATTAAACCCTACGGACTAAGACTGGGATGACATTAAAGTTCATGTGCATGTAAAGGCAGGCGTCCCAATACTTTTGGCAATACAGTGTTAATGTAGCCTGCTGGCTATTTAAATTACTGACCCAGAACAAATATGCAGATAATGAAAGTCTGAAAGAAGTCCTTGTCTAAGTGTTTTTTCCAGGTCTGAGACTTAAAGTAACTTACGTGATTCAGAACAATTATGCAGATCAAGATCTGGATTCTGGGTTAACGATTTGATGTGCAAAAAACCCCCAAAAACAACATGTTAGCCAGGCAATCAGCAACAGCGGCCTCCATGTATCTCTCATGACAGGTTTCGTCTAATTAAATATTGTATCCTAATTAAATTCACTTTAACCCAAATTTAAGTTTCTCTAAACCCAAGAACGAAATTTTGATAGATGTAGTGGTTGCATTAGTTTTTTTTCTCTCAGGCTTTTTTTTTACTTTCTGAACCTAGTCATCTTGCCAGTAACACACTTCCTCTCCAAGTGTGCTCACTCACAAATGTTCTTATATGAAGGAGCAGCGTTGTCATCCTAGGACTACAAAAAAAAAAACCTTCTCCTCTTTATAACATATCAGAGAGGTGTTCTGTAATTCACAGAGGGGGACTGGACAAGGCTGATAACACTGCTTGCATTTTTAGTACAGCATAGTCATAGTTCGCTGGATTTGTGGAAGGATGAGCAGGTATTGTTTTGCAATTACTAAGCATATATAACAAATGCTTTCAATGGTACATTTAAACAGACCAAAATGGAGCAAATAAGAGAATATCATTGTTGTTTACACTTTAAGCAGTTTCTACCATTTATTAGCCAAGTTACTTTCCCTCAATTTTATTCCATTTATTACCATTTTTGTTTGGTTTGTTTTATTATGTTTATTTCAGGGTTACCTCAGAGCACTATTTTTTCTTCAGCAGTAAAAGGAACGGTAAAGCTATTGCTTAACCAATAGGCCCTTAAGGTGGCCATACCCTGTGCGACATTCGCACAGTGGGTGTTGCTGTCGGCACCCTTTCAGCCGACATCCTTCGATCAGCTAAACAAAAAGGAGCTGGTCCGAAAATCTTCGTACAAACAGAGCCAGCAGCCAAGGAGCTGCCGTTTTGTTCAGGTATCGTAGCATTGATGGAGGAATCTTCTCTTATTTTTTTTCCGTTTAGCCCACAGGTTCAGTGAAAAAAAAAATAGGAGAAGTATATGGCCAGCTTTAGAGAAGTAAAAATTGGTCAGGTCCAATAAAAGGTAAAGGCACACTAGTTCTGAAGTGGTTAATAAAAATGTCACCATATGAACTATAATGAGCTGGTAACAGTTTTCCTATCTTAGAAAGACGCGTACATTTTTCCATATTTTCCACAACTTACCTGATGCAATAGTTACTATGAAATGAAATCTAGTTACAATGCAATTATATCAGCTACCACTGCCAAAACAAAGAAACAAACAAAATTTACAAAACTGGTCTTCAAATGAAGAAAAAAAAAAGGCGGGGGAAATGTTTGTGCGTCTTGTGGAGCGAATCCCTAGTTTTTTGTACATTTAGCCCTGCTAAAGCAGAGCTAAATGTACAGTGGAAGCCCGCGCTCGTTTAATACAAGTGATCTATTCAGATCACTTGTATTAAAACCGAGCGGCAGCGCCCTCGACAACCGCCGCGGTTTTCGGGTCCCCCGCTCCTCTGGGGGACCCGTGACCACGGGATAGCAGCTCACCATAGAGCCCCTAGAGCAGACGAAGAACGTCCGTTCTTCGTCTGCTCTGTGTGATCACTGAGACCGTGGCGCTGTAATCACAGCGCCACCTGTCTCAGCTGTCACTTACTGCAGCTTCTGTCACAGAAACTATGACAGAAACGGCCTGCGTCTTATGTACCGGTGCGCCTTATGGAGTTCAAAATACGGTACTTTTTACAATATGTAATTTTATCAAAGGATAAAGGTTTAAAAACGCAGCAAAGCATTACCTTGCTTTTGTTCGCATTTTACGGCACAGCCTAAAATTAGCTGCAACATTCTTCCAAGTTCTGAGGCATCGGAATGTTCTCCAACCAAATTGACATCTGGAGGTGTGAAATCATTGATCTGATGTCCCAAAATCTATAAAACACATGAATCTCATATTATTAAGGTGACAGTCTTTCAATTAAAAATGTAATAAGACCAGCACATTCATAAGACTTGAGGGCCCCACAAGGTGGCTTACCAATAAAAACTGCTTTGCAAAATCTATTTTTCCTGATTAAATGGCAGACATGCACAGTATAACTTTTCTTTTCTCTCTTTCCATAATGTAAACATAGATAGTATGGATGTCTACCATAGATCAATTCCTCTTATTATAGCTCCAAATATCATATGACCCTCAAATGCTTTTGGAAGTTTGCAGACTAAACTACAGAATATATAGGGCATATACAGGGCTTGAAAAATACACTTGGCCGTTCGTCTGTGACGAGAGGACGGCGGAGCCCGATGAGCAGCTTCCCAGCCAGCCGTTGTAATTACACGGCCGGCCGGGAGCTTTACATTCAAGCGATCGAGCGTCTCGAGACTCCCGATCGCTTATATTAACAGCAGCTGTCACTGCCGCTGCAGAGATCCGCTGTGCCCGATGTGGCCGGGACCGGCACGGCTCTGTCACAGGAGATCAAAGAGAGATCGGTACACAATCTCCCTTTGATCTCCTCTCAGTCCCCGAATGCAGGAAGTGATGTATATTACAAGTGATTCTATTACATCACTTCCGGCATTCAGTGTCGCTCTCCAGCTACAGAAGCTGATGAAGCAGATCTCTGCTTCATCAACTTCTCTGCAGGTCCCTAGATGGCATTAGGGGTCTTGGAGACCCCTGATGTCTTCATAAAGAAGACCTGTCATGTAAACTGGCTATCACATAGGGGACTTCTTATCCCCCCATGTGTTAGCAATAAAGTTGTGTAAAAAAAAAAAGAAGTAATACAAAAATTTAAAGAATCATAAAAAAAAATAAAGAAGCACATTAAAAAAATTAAAACAGAAAAAAACATTTTTTTAAAGTCCCCCACATACACATGCAGATATGCGTCGGGTGCGCCTACATGCGAAAACAACGATTGCGCCTATTGTGCAGCACGTTACATATAACCGTGAACGTCGGAGTGTGAGCAATAATTTTAGGGCCATTAATCACTAAACACTAAACTGCTGAGCGGTAAAAGCGTTTTAAGCGTCGCCTATGGCCAATTTTTGCGATTTTGCAGGCGCACGCAATTTTAAGGCTCGACATGTTTGGGGTCTATTTACCCGATGTGACCCCGTCTTTTATAGTTTACCAAAAATATGGGTAAGAATAGATGTTTTATAACATAACGTATGGAAACTTTGGGGGGTTTTTTAAAATTTACTGTCCATTTTTTCATTATATAGTAAAAAAGTGGTGATTTTATATACCACCAAAAGAAAGCTCTGTCTGTTCCCAAAAAAAGTTAACATAAAATTGCAAGGCTATAGTCCGGTCATGCTGACTGGTGACATTTTTTACTGACTGGTGAGACACCCTAAAATTTTTCAAGCCCTGGGCAGATATGTAGTGTATGAAGGCTGCTAGTCTTAGACCCCATTCACACTGAGCTACAAGAAAAAAAGCGCTTTTTCAGCGCTCATTTGAGCTGATCGACTTTGAGCTACAGTGCACATTTTGTCTCACTACGTAGCATTCTTTTGGCAGTCTATCAAAGTCTATTGGGGCCAAATTGCTTGAAATCCGCCAAAAAATAGCTCATGTTCGACGGACAAGCTTCAGCTACAAGCGACATTGAGCTGCAAGATGTGAACATCATCATTTAAATGCATTGGAAGAGCTACATTGAGCTTCATATTTGAGCGGTAATCGCGCTACAAATCGCTCAGAATGGGGTCTCAAGATTTGGAGGGAGATTTGGTAATCGTACAACTGTACTGCTCATTGTTCTTCTTACTGGAAAGAAAGCTGTACCTGAGAAACTACAAGAATCTCCCTACTCCTGATTCATTCACTCTGTGGCTCAGTGCTTTCTGCACATGCAGATGCTTAGTGAGTATTCACCCACTAGTTAACAGATAAGCAGTTATCAGAGGGAGAAGCTCTAACACAAGGCAGCAAACCCCTTCCTCTAGCAAGATGGCTGTCTCCACATAGAGAAAGTGCAGAACAAGAGATGGTAAGTCAGTAATGGGGGTAAAAATCAGCTGCAGTGAGCCTACAGGCAATGCTGGTAACTAGTCCTTTGCCATGTGTTTGCCTTATAGGCAGATTACTGGTCTTCTATAACATTTTAATCAGCTTTTGTAAAAAAATCTCTTTTATATAATATATATATTTATTTCATTCAAAGTGCTGGCAATAATAAGGGGAAATCATTAATGAATTTGGTTGTCCACTTACATGCTTCTATTTCTAAATAATTTCAAAGCTGTTGTTGCCTATATTGCCCCTAGTATGTGTGTGCCTCCTATGCCAGGCCTGGTATCAGCCCATCAAATGACTAATGCGTTTCAGGCCTGAAATGCATACCAGAGCTGCATACCGGAAAATGTAAAGTTCCAAGGTTGGAAGTGCAGCAAAGATCACAACGCAGTCATGGTAGTACGGATGGGAGTGAAGGCTCTAGGACTATAATGCTGATCTAGTTTTATTACCTTAACTGGCTGAATGTTGATTGCAGGTCAGTGACTCAGTAGCCAAGTCAGCAATAGAAGAACGTTCGCTAAGTGGATAGCACTTGCCTTGCATTTAGTTGTAGCTCATCAACACATGATGTTGTAGGCTATCCCTGTGTCTGTGCAAGTTTCATCAGCAAGATCCACAAATTCCTCCCAGTGTATAAGAGTGTGGAAAGGATATTACTTTGTGAGCTAATTCAGGATCCAGAGGCTGAAGAGAATTTCCCTATGTGCTCTAAAAGCACCGGGTAATGTGTCAAAAATATGGTAATAAGGAAAAAAAATAAATATTACTGTGCTTGCAGGATCACTTTAAAGGTGCCCATACACCTTACGACCATCGCAAGACTTTTGTGTTGCGATGGTCGTAAGCTTATACGATCTGCTCATCTTGGACAGGCAGATCGTACATGCGATCGAAAGCCCACCCGCTCCGATGACCGCAGTGAGGGAAGGGCTTCCGATCACTGCAAACGGCAGTGTGCACGTGCGCACACCGGCCCGTTCGGCAGTTGTCGAAGAAGCAGGCCACTAACCCAACGAGAATCGTACGATTCTCAGCGGGTTTTCAAGCCTGCTTGTTCGACAGAAGACGTGAGACAGTACAGTAGAAATGGTCGCACGCCTTCCATACACTGTACAATTATCGTACGATGGCGGGATTTCCCGCGATTCTCGTACGAGAATCGCACAGTGTATGTGCACCTTAAGGCACACAGTAATTTATGATGGAATTAAACACAAAATCACCTGCGACTGATTGCAAAATGTGAATCAATAGTATGTCATAAGCTATGCTAGAAGGCTGCAGGGGAATTAACCACACGACTGGACAATGCTACGATCGTGCCAGGTATATTGCATCTCCTCAGATGTTAAAACTTTACCTCAACAGCTTACAAAATAATTCAGTTTTAGAGCTTCGTCAATTCTGTAACTGAACGTGGGAAAAAAATAATATACAAAAAGCTCCCCAGCATATTACAGCTTGCAACCTTAACAAATAAGTCAATAGAAACATGACTTATGTGATCAGAATACATAACCAAAAGAAGCGGAGGCAATAAAACCACAGCTCTCAATATATGCACACTTTAATAGCACAATAAATGTACATTTTTTTCTCCTTTCAGCATTTACCTCATGATTGTAGTCCAAAATACCCTTTAAAATCTTCTTTAGATTACTGGTCTGCAAAAAGACAATAGGTTAAACTCCAACAAATAATGCAAGGAAAACTAGAGCGTCTAGAATCAGCAGCACACAAAAGTGAGGATAAAAGCCCAGGAAGTCTAAACATACGATGAGTAATACAAGATCACATGCTGCATGGCTGGTTTACTAGCAGGGTTTGCCAGCCAGTCAACATTTTAGACTGCAGAGTGTAGAAACTCCACTAAATCTTTAGCCAGTGTCAGAACTACCTTCCAGTAAAACCTAGTACTTCAGCTTGTACAATTAATAGGTTTAACACTCATGTACAGAAGTCCAAGGACAAAAAGGACAACACATGTTGATTTGAATATAAAACCTTTGGCTAAACCTCAGCACTATACGTAGGCAAGAAAATAGATTACTGCAAGACTAGAGGTATCGTCACTTGATAGGTCTAGCTGCCTAATCAGCTGCATGGTTGGCCAGCATTCAGCACCTGTGATACTTATAAGTAGCTTTAAAGTGACACTAAACTCAGGAGTTAAATCTTAAAAATGCATTCTGGTACCCTAATAATGTATCTTATTTGTGTATCACTCGGCTGTAGATCCTCAAATCATCTCTGAATTGGTGCTGACACTGTCCTTCCTTCTGGAGGGTGGCTACTTTTGTTCCCCATGGTCCCTGTGTGTTGTAAAGTAGCCACCACTCCATTTTTATTGAGACTACAGTCTCAATACAAATGAGTATAGTGAAAGTGAGATTGTAGTCCATCACAGGAGTGATCTTGGAGTGGTGGCTACTTTACAACACACACAGGGACCATGGGGAACAAAAAGTAGCCACCCTCCAGAAGGAAGGACAGTGTCAGCACCAATTCAGAGATGATTTGAGGATCTACAGCCCAGTGATACACAAATAAGATACATATTTATTAATAGGGTACCGGAATGCATTTTTAACATTTAACGCCTACATTTATTATCACCTTAAATTAGTCCATCCAAATATACAAACAACAACAAATATTGACTTTAGGATGTCGACCAGTATACTTTTATAACACTGTAAAGGGTTGGTGCACACCAGAAAACATGTTGATTTGACATATCTTGCCTTGCAATGACATATTGCATAGTGTTTTTTTAAATACTACATATGAATTGATTTGGATGGCAAATTGCAGGTCAAAACACCCAAAATGCATGCTTGAAGGACTTTTAGCCAGTGGATTTTCTCATGTCCACGCATTCAGCATATGGTGGCAACGAACCCTTACATATAAGGCCTCAGATAAAACGAAAACTGGTTTTAATTGTGGAAGTTGGACAAAAGGTAAGAGATCCTGCAGTCCTGTTTCACTCCTCCCCATTTCAGATTTACATATTAATCCAATTAATATTTACTAATTTTTTTAAAGTTAGGGCCCGTTCACACCAGACAGTGCATTCCGGTCCGATTCTGGCCAGACACACTGGATCGTATTGCGGCCAGCTCACTTTGTTGTGGGGCAGGGAGGGGGAGTGGCGGTGCACTGACCTCAATGGCCCCATAGCCACGCCCTCCGGCCGCAATACGATCAGCCGCAAAGGAACGCAAGGCACATCAATACCTACGGTCCGGTCAGAAAAAATGCTGCAAGCACTATTTTTTATGACCGGACCAGACCGCTGACATTGATGAGCCACACATTTCCGTGCAGCCGATTGGGGCCGGAGTGGCTGCGATGCCATTCACTTCAATACACTGCCACGCCCCCTCCCGCTCCACAACAAAGTGAGCCGGCCGCAATGCGATCCAGTGCGCTCCAGCCAGAATCGGGCCATAATGCATGGTGTCTGGTGTGAACGGCCCCTTATGCTTCAGCTGTAAATGTTTTAGGTACATCAGTTATCTGATTTTTTTTTTCCCAGCCCTAAATTACTATAAAATATGGATAGCCAAACTTCAGCACGCCAGCTGTGGTTAAATTACAAATCCCACCATGCATCTGAACTATAATCTGTCAAGAAAATAGTGGTCTAAAATGAGCAGTACCTTGAGCCTCCAGTTGTCTCCCACGTCCGTTTTAATCCTGTTTAACCAGTTTTCATCAAAGTATGCTGCGTCACTGTTAAAGAGAAAATAAAGTCAAATTGTTCCAGAAAAAAAAAAAAAGGGTAAAACTTTCTATCATGCCTACATTCAAATACATTTTCTTACATTTTTTGAAGGACCATGGCCATTGCTACACCGCTTGTAAGGTCTTCTATTGTTTTGCATGGTGCATCTACGTGAAATGTCTGTATCTATGAATGAAAGAAAATACAGAAAAAAAAAGTTATACTCAAACAGGTTTGTGTATAATACACATTAGTTGCCTGAGGTTGTCTACATGCAGTCTGCACAGGCATGCCAATCAGCAGTGCCCATTTTAGAGCATGTACATGATAAGACAACAGTTCTGTCCAGGTGGTTTATTGGTCGTGAAGCACGATACGACATAATATACAGTACTGTGCAAAAGTGGTAGGCAGGTGTGAAAACATTTTGTAAAGTAAGAATGCTTTCAGAAATAAGTTTAAAATAGTTTATTTGGATCAATTAACAAAATGGAAAGTAAATGAACAGAAGAGAAATCCAGAAATCAAAATTAATATTTGGTGTGACCACAGTCAGACTCAATGATGTTGAGATCAGGGCTCTGTGGGGGGCCAAACCATCACTTCCAGGACTCTTTGCTTTACCCTGAAGATAGTTCTGAATGACTTCGGCTGTATGTTTGGGGTCATCATCCTGCTGCAGAATACATTTGGGGCCAATCACACGCATCCTTGATGGTATGGCATGATGGATACGTATCTGCTTGTATTTCTCAACATTGAGGACACCATTGATCCTGACCAAATCTCCAACTCCATTGCAGAAATGTAGCCCCAGACTTGCAAGGAACCTGTTTGCAGTCATCGCAAGCCCGCCCCTCAGGGGGGGCGGGCTTGCGATGATCGCAAGTACGATCTGCCTGTCCAAGATGGGCAGATCGTACAAGCTTTTAATTAGCAAAAGTCTTGCGATGGTTGTAAGGTGTACGGGCACCTTAAAAGCTGCCCATACACCTTACAATTATCTGCAGATTTTCTCTGGTCAGATGGAAAAAGTGCAACAGATTCCTCCATCTACACTTAACTATGTAGATAGAGGAATCTCCCACTGGGCCAAGCTTCAGTATCTTGCTAGTCGGCCCCGCCGGCTCTCAAAACACCTGAACAATGCCTGCATCCAATCAGACTGATCAGGTATTTTGGGAGCCACCGGGGCCGACTAACAAGATACTGGCTTGGCCCAGGTGGAGATTACTCCATCCACACAGTTAAGGAATCTGTTGCACCTTTTCCATCTGACCATAGAAAATCTGCACATAATTGTAAGGTGTATGGCCAGCTTAATCCTACAAAATCTCTGACTTTGTACAAGTGTAAGAATTGATGCTGGTTTAAAGCCAAAGGGCAGTCGCACCAAATATTGATTTGATTTAGATTTTTCTTCTGTTCGCTCACTTTGTAAATTGATAAAAATAAATACAAAATATTTTTTTTTTTTAAAGCATTCTTACGTTACAGCATTTTTTCAGAAAAATTGGGTATCCTCACTCAATAAAATGAGTGACGATTCACTTCAATTATCCAATTATGTAAAAAGTTTTTTTGTTTTGTTTTATCAGCACATGATCACAGTGAACAAAGTTACAATTTATTGGGTGAAGATTCCTAACCCCCTTTCCTAATTTAACTTGATTGTATCTTCTGAGCAGCTTTATGGCTACATAGTTGATTTAAATAAAAGTCACAAAACTCTTGGTTGGAAAAATACAAAAAAGGTTTTCTGCATTTTTTCAGTCTGCTATTCCACACCGTGATTCTGCCTGATGTGACAGATTCATTTTATTGCCGTTCTAAGATGTTGAACACGTCAGCAATAATAACAGGAGATGGCATGGTAGGCAGTCATCCCAACAGCTGTGCGTGTCTCTACAATGTGTGTCATGATGAAACATTACAAAGCTAACGGAAAAGGCAGTACAGCTCGAGCATGGACTTGCGCAACCATTGCTGCCTCCCACATTGATGCCGACTATCAAGAGTAATCAATGAACGAGCTAGTGACGACTGAGCTGTATCTAAGGATGCAACTAATGATTATTTTCATAATCGATAACTTGACACCTATTTTAATTATCGATTAGTCGGTTGCAGCCCTAGCTGTATTATAATTTACATTGCTGAGAAATGCATATGGGGGGAATTGATCAAAACCGGAGCAGACAAAATGTGGAGCAGTTGCCTCTGGCAACCAATCAGCTTCTCTCTTCAGTTTGTTCAGTTAAGGTTTGAAAATGAAAAGTGGATGCTGATTGGTTGTCATGTACAGCTGCTCCAGATTTTGTCTGCTCCAGTTTTTATAAATTCCCCTCAAGATGTCTTTAAAAGAACATTTTCAACCAAACCTTGTATAACACAATTATAATGATTTAGGTCACCTTATCACTTACAGCAGCGGTGGAGAAATTATTATTATTATTACTCTACAGGATGTATATAGCGCCAACAGTTTGTGCAGCGCTTTACTATACAAGGAAGACATTACAATTACAATACAATTCGAGACAAGATGGTAAGGAGGGCCCTGTCCCTGAGGGCTTACAATCTAAAAAGGGAGGGGCAAGTGATACATGAGGAGGTAACTGTGTGGGATGGTTGAGTGGTTAGGTTGAGGTGGGATAGGCTTCCCTGAAGAGATGAGTCTTAAGGGATCGCCTAAAGGCAGTCAGATTGGGAGATAGACGGACAGGTTGGGGTAAACAGTTCCAGAGGTTGGGAGAGACTCGAGAAGTCCTGGAGGCGAGCATAGGAGGAGTTGACGAGGAAGCTGGAAAGCAGTGGGTCTTTTGAAGAGCGGAATTTAGAGGCAGTCTGTCTAATCCAGGAGCCAGCAGAATATTTTTTTAGGAGCCAACTCTATTGGCAACTAGATAAAACCTCGAAAGTTGGGCACCAGCTGTAAATTTTACGGAACCTTGGCTACCTGGCTCCTGGGATTTGTCCAGCCCTGCTAGAAGATCTAAGGAATATTTTATAATAATTCTTTGGAATAGCACAGATTTTATTGCCACCTACTCTATGGTTTATTCACATGCTCAGTGCAGAGATAACGTGTAAAATTGCAGCCACAGAAATATTGTATGACCATTTGCAGGTCTAACTCTGAAGCCCGTGACACAATGCACGCAGAGCTGTGCAGAGCGAAGAAAAACTGTCCGGCACTGGCACTGAGCTGTGCCTGCAGTGTGTGAGCTGAGTGCAGGCAGATGATTGACTGCACCTTCAGCAAATCGGCTCGCGTGTAACAACCGGCCAGACGTCGCATCCTGACGATTGGCTAAAGATTACATTTTTCATCTCGCAAGCTGACGTGCCGGGGAGTAAATTACATGACACACTGCTCGCGAAGGCAGTGTGCTGCTGCTTCAGGTGCACCGTCACAGCCTTGATTAGAAAGGTCATGCAAAAGTCAGATATTGATTGAGATTTCAGATATTGAGTATGCTTGGACTAAAATGCCATTGCAGACACATGACAATTTATAGCACTTACAGAACATGATGTGTTCTTAGTTTGCGTACGATGCAAACTCCACAAACCGAGCTGCCACTGGGTTACGTGGTCCACCAACAGAGTGCAATTACAACAAATAAAAGTGTGATTTTTTTAACCTAGCACACTAGGGTCGCTTTATCTTTATTCAAAATACAGATTTCTTTTTTTTTTTCTTTTGCATTGCCAATTTTCTGCATGATGCTTTACTTCAGGTATTGTACTAAAAAGAATACATTAGAGAACTATGGGGTCAGGGGTTTTCCCCATAGTTCTCCTTAGGGTAACGGGAGGACACAAACTAGCGTCCTCCCGTCACCCTATGCTCAGTATACCGCGAGCTGCAGCTCGCGGTATACTGAGATGCCACAGCGGATCCCGACATCGATATCGAGATCCGCCCAGCTGCGTGAGTGACAGCTGGCTCTGCCTATCTAGAGGCAGAGCCAGCTGCAACCGCCCCCGTGCGTTCCGCGCAGATCGGAGGGGGGAATCCAGCCCCTCCCCTGTCACGGCAGAGAGCCGTGACAGGATCGAGAAGTGAGCGAACACCCGATCTACTGAGCCGACCTGTGACAGTCTCATTGTCACAGGTCGGCTAGAACTATGAGGTGAGTGAAAAGCACTCACCTCATAGTTCTCCTTTAAACTGAAAACAAAAACACACTAGTTATTTAATTTTGAGTAAACCTTTGATCATGGAATTGTTAAAGTGTATGTACACCAAAACTTTTTCTAGTTTTGGATAGAGTTAAGAACGGTTAAAAAAAAAAGGGAAGGAGAATCTCTCCAATTGGGACTTAAAATAGCAATAAATCTTGACAGGAAGTTTACAGCTGATCTCCAGCTATAGAAGTGTGTATATACTTACATTGGTCCAGCTTGGCACAGTGCAAGCATATAAAATGTATCCCTGGCAGGGCCACATAGATCCTGTAAAACACTAGAGAAGGCGCAGCTACTAAAATGTTTCACAGACATCTACTGGGTCCAGGACCTGCTGCTATGAGCAACGTCCCCTCCTTGTTAAAACACACACTCGCTTGCTCGGCACATCGGACATTCAGCAAATGTCTGCTATTTTTTTTTATCAATGGGCATTCTCTGATTGGAGGAGGAGTAGTGCCATGACATCACCATCCCTCGTCCAATCAGAGAAAGCATAGTATTCATTGAGTGGGGGGAAGTCGTTCAGCAAAGGGCTGTTCCTGAACCCAGAAGGATGCTGTAAGACACTTTTGTAGCAGCAGCTAATAGTGTTTTACAGGATCTCTGTGGCCCTAACAGCTAAAATTTATATATACTTACATTGCACCAAGCTGGCCCAATGCAAGTATATATAAAAATTATTTAAATTTCTATAGCTACGGTTCAGCTTCAACCTTTTTTGTATATAGAACAACATATTATGTGATGTAGTAATCATACCAGAATGCAATGGATGTAAAAATTCAATTAATCAATAGTAAATACTACTGCCAAGTAGGGATGTACCGATACCGGTTTTTCGGTATTGAGTACAAGTATCGATATTTTTTTTTCGGTACTCGCCGATACCGAATACTGATACTAGAAGTCCCATTAACGAAGCCAGGCAGCATCTAATAACAACTCTTCACCTGGCTTTCTGATTAGCCGGGAAGCCAGGCGGCATGTAC